CACGCGCATGTCGGTCATAGCAGGATTAAGGGTAGCGTGAAGGTTAGAATCACATTGGAAGATCTTCTCTAACTGCTCTGTCCGCGTTTCTCTGCAGCTTTATTTCTCTACTTTCCTTCTAATGCCTCGGACATTCGTTTCGCATTTTCATTTAAGAAAAACTGATTATTCTGTCAGTGTTGTGTCAGTGCTGGTGTGTTGCTAAAAGTTTTTGTTGACTACAGTTAATCGAATCCATCGACGCACCATAGCATATACATATTCACGGAGAAAACAAGGAATAAAATAATTTAAAAAATAGTTACTGCGTGCTGTATTTGTGGTGTGGAAGAAAACCCTCTTTATCCACGATCATTTCATAAATAATTTAAAAAATATATTTGTATTCAATATGAATGTAAACATATCGTAATTAATAATATATATACACATATATATAAGTGAAAATATATATGTAAAAAATTTACAGAATCCCAAAAAATGAAGAAATGTGAAAAAAATGGTTTCACGTTATTGGCCGTGATGTATCTTACAAAGGAGTAAAAATATGCAGTGACCACTTTACAAAAAATGACTATCATGAAATGAATGAATATAAACAAAATAAAATATTGAGAAAGATTGCAGTTCCATTAATTTTCGTGGAAGAAAATTGGTGAGAATGTTAAATTATAAATAAGAACATACATGTAATAATCTTACAGGAAGATGCAATAAATCCATTACATTGAAATATTTTGTTTTGTAGTAAACATGTGGAGAAGGATACAGATACCAATTTAAGCACAGATATAAATACAAATACAGCAGAAAATAATGACATAGACAATGAAAGAAATAGGTAAGAAACACTAAAGATACACTAAGATATACACCAAAAGGAAAAATAAAGTTATCGTAATATATAAGATAAAACATTAATGTATGTGAATATTTTTTGTTTTATAGTCAAAATACGAGTAAGAATTCCATTACGGACACAGATGCAGATATACATACACATGTAGCAGAAGATGTTAATAACATAAACATCCATAGCAACCACAGTAATAATCACAGTAGAAAAAGGTGAGATATCTAAAGATTTAAATAATTTTTCCTATCGAGTATTATTCCAACAAATTATAAATTATCAAAATTTTATTTTCAGGAAATTATCGCAAGAGAATTTTAGAAACTCAAAAATTAAAAAAATATTTGTAAACACTTCTAAATATGCTACAAAATGCTTCCGTAAAACAGATTTTGTGTCTGATGCAAAATGGGAGCAGTTTGTAAGATATGTGTCATATATTCGAAATGAAACAAAAAATATGTGGCAAAAGAAACACCGTATGCAGAAGAAAGTTTTAACTTATAAAGATTTGCTTCAGGACCTGAAAAGTAAAAACTTTATAACAAATAATAGTATACATGCAATCAAAGTAAGTTGAGTTTAGCTATTTTCCATTCCTAGAAAGATTTGAAATTCACATTGTCCACAATGTTTATTCTTTTATAAGAAAGTTCATGATAACTCTCCAATCACAATGTGACTTCATCATAATATTGACTCTTATAGAAAGGTCCATGCTAATGAAGCAAATGATAGAACAATACTTGATTTCTACATCATGTTAAAAATATGGTATAACAAATGTTGTGCGTATACATATACCCTCTCAATCTACAAATCTACAAATGCACTAACGATGTTATATCTTCGTTCTAAATAAGTTATTATGTTATATATGTCTATGCGTACAACCATTTGTCTCCTTGATTTCTTCTGTTTTTATATCTATATTTTGTACTTCCTTTTTCTTTATTTAGGATATATTGTCACCTGTTATGCAACAGTTGCTACTTACAATGTTAAATAAGAAGCGAAAGAAGTCGTTCCCCGAAAGTTTAAAAAGTTTTGCATGCGCGTTACATTTTCATTCGCCTGCAGCATATTTGTATGTAAGAAAAATGTTTTTAAAAAGTTTACCTCACCCCAGTATATTGCGCATGTGGACACAGACAATTCGTAGCAATTCCGGTATATCTGAACAATCGTTTAAAACTATACTCGATAAGGTGCAAAATGCTAGAGAGAAAGGAAAAAACTTAGTTTTCAATATAACTTTTGATGAAATGAATATTAAGAAAAAAGTTGATTGGGACGGCAAAGAATTACACGGTTTTATTGAAACGGATATTAAAGATAGTAAGTCTGACAGTCTGCCACTTGCTACCCATGTCCTTTTTATGTTAGTGTGCATAAATGATCATTTTAAAATCCCAATTGCATTTTACGTTATCGAGGCATTAAATGGTAAGGAAAAAGCAAATTTGTTAAATAACATTTTAAGTATTCTCCATGAAAAAGCAATTTACGTTGTTAGTATTACATTTGATGGAGCAACTTCTAATATTGCAATGTGCGAGATACTAGGCGCACAGTTAAAACACGTCAATTTTGAACATATTGTTCCGTATTTTAAGTATCCTATTGACAAATCTAAAAATATTTATATTTTTTATGATGTCACATGTTGAAGCTTGTGAGGAATGCAATTAGTAAAGGGGTTATTAAAGATAAAGACAAAAATGTAATAAGTTGGAACTTTCTGAAAGAATTAGTAAATGTGCAAACTGTGGAAAAATTACATGTTGCCAATAAAATGCAAAAAAGACATATACAGTTTTTTAATGAAAAGATGAAAGTTAATCTAGCAGCACAAACATTAAGTAATTCTGTGGCTGATGCATTGACATTTTTAGAATATGAATTAAAAGAACCAAGATTTATAGGAGCTTCAACTACTGCAACATTTTGTAAAACTTTCAATGACATATTTGATATCTTAAATTCACGTAACATATACAATAAAACTGAAAATAAACATGCAATAACAAGAAATACATTATGTACTATTAAAGATAAAGCTAAAACTTTTATGCATTATATTGCTTCCTTAACAATAAATGATGTTCCCGTATTACAAAGCATCCTCAAAACAGGTTTCATTGGATTTATAATTAATTTGCAGAACGTTATTGCATTAGCAGAAGAATTATTTAATGTAAATGCAATAAACTTTCTTCTTACTTATAAATTATCACAGGACCATATCGAAACTTTTTTTTCATTGATTAGAAGAATGCATGGTTGGAATAATAATCCTAGCGTAAAGCAATTTAAGGTGTCATATAGAAAAATATTGCATTTAGCGAATGTGTCAGTCTCATTGAATGCTAATTGCATTCCACAAGATGATACTGTATTGCTAACACTTTCACATGAATCTACGAATGATATACAGACAATTAACGAACATGTAGAACAAAACAAAGATACTATTTTAGAAGAAAGATTTTTAGAAGACGAACCTTCAGATCTTATCTTTATTGAGCATAATTATGTATTACATGATAAAAATGTTAATGAATATGCTGAAGAAATCATTGTTTACATATCAGGATATGTTGTTAAAACTATTATGAAAAGAATTAATTGTTCAGAATGCAAGCAATTACTTTCAAATAATACATAAAAACAATTGAATATAGAGCGTACCAGTAAACTTATACAGATAAAGGATCGAGGCAACTTATGTGAAGCATCAAATGATGTGATTACGATATGTAAGATAGCATATAAAATAGTACGATGTAATCAACATAGACTATTTACAAATAAAAATATTCTTGCACATCTCATATGTGAGGCTGTACGCTCCATTCCTGTGCATATATTTGACTATAATAATCATATATTCAATCAAAGTCCACTTTTTGATCACCGAAACCAAATAATTAAATTAATTTTGAAAACATTTTTTAATTTAATTTTAAAACATGAAAGTACATCATTCGCAGATTCGATACAACGAGTTCGGATGAAAAATAATAAAATAACCTTGTTCAAAAATCAATAAATAAACAACAACTTATATAAAAAAATATATATATTTTTTTAATAAAGATTATATTACTTTGTAATATTGACATTTTTATTACAACTTTTCCACACATTCATGTATAAAATATTTAATCGTTTCAATATAAATGTTTACACGTAGTTTATAATAGTTGAAACACATTTATCTCTAAATTTTAAACGGTTTTATTTAACATTACACAACTTTTTTTAACCTAACATCATGTATATAGCACGTTATATATTACTACGCATCACTGCGCATGCGTGAGCAGAGAAAGAAAGATACTCGGCACTTGCTTTCTGTCTCTTTCTACCTGATCTTCAGTCTTCACAAGAGTACACGCGCAGTCTATTCTTACTATGTCTATGTATGAACGTAAAATGGACGTAAAATGAATGTCCATAAGACGTACTGCGCTATTTGGGAAAGTACTTTATAATATGAAAGAATGACGCACGTCGTAAGAAGTCGCTAACACGGCTGTATTGCGACTGTGTATCTATGCTGAAAAGTTTCTCTTTGCTGCAACATACAAAGAGTTTCATATTAGAATAAGAATATAAATAAATATTTATATATGTTGCTTGTTAAATTTTCTAAAAGTATAACCTCCAATTTTATGCAGTGTTTTACTGACGAACTATTAAAGATGCGTGAAACATATGATACAAAATATATAAGAAACTATTCTTACACTTTATTTATTGTTTGATACAATATGATTTACAAAAGAAAGAGGAAGATTACCTTTGATTAAGATTATGTCAAGAAATGTTGGCGAAAGGGCACAGCGAAAACAGAGTCTGGAGACAACGAAGTTCGGTGTCGTAACTCACTTCGTCGTGTATAGATGGCGACTTTGTAGACGTAGGCGCGAATTACTGATGTGAACGCATAATATACCCATATAGCAAACGGACATTCAATGGATGTTCATTGCACGTTTATTTTGTTGCGAAAGACGTTCATAGAATATACGTTTGGCACAACTTCGAATGTCAAAGGAACATGGACATACATCGGACATCCACAGGACATCCACAAAATATATTGGTGAGAATAATCGAAAAAGGAAGTCGGTAGTATGTTCTACTTACATTCAATAGAATATCCTACTCGAATATTCTAAAAATAGAACATTCGTACTTCATAAGAATATTCATAGAATATTGTGTGCTATCTGGGTAGTTCCTAATATAGAGATATGATTTTTTCTGGCTTATATATATCTGTGCAATTATTTAGTTTATATAAATTTTTGGATATTATTTTGTTTTATTTAAGGAGCTATTGATTTTTTGTTTCTTTAAAAAATTACATCTCTTTATCTCTTATGGATATTATTTTTTTATGTAGAGAAAACCAAAGTACAATATATAAATATAGAGTTCTGTTTATTAAAAATAAAAATATATATACATGTGTTAATATTATAAATATATTTAATAAAGTTTTATTACATATTTGATATTTCCAGTCTTTTACATCTTTATGTGTACACTTGCACTTATTACTATACATTACGATATAACGTACGCATAATTTGTTCGCGCTTTTGTATGGCAATTATCTGTGGACGTTCTTCGTTTTCTATATATATGTTTAAATTTTCTTCATTAGATATTTTTTCAATCGCGTCATTGATATTATATTCATCCATCTCGTTTTGCATAAAATTGTGCAATACATAACATGCTGCAATTATTTTTTTTCCTAGATCCATATCCTCAATATCCAAATATTTCAAACGTCGAAATCTTCCTTTTAAAAGTCCAAATGTTCGCTCGATTACTGAACGAATTGAACTGAGTCTGGTATTGTATAATGACTGAGCGACTGTTAAATGTTCTGTGTCTCTAAATGGTATCATTAAATTGATCATTAACGGGTATGCAGAATCCCCAATTATGTGTTCATCAGCTAGCAATAATGGATTTCTTTCATTTATAATACGTTGGTAAATTGTACTATTTCTAAATACGCAAGCATCGTGCATTCTTCCAGATAAACCAATGAAGCAATCAATAAATTTTCTGCGATGATCACAAATACCTATAACGAAAAGTAATCATATTCGTACAAACTGGTTCTCTAAATTAGTAAGTTAATACATTTTATACGTTTAGTAAAGATGTACCTTGCAATATAATTGAAGGGAAACCTTTTCTGTTGTAATAGTCATGTGCATTATTTTTTGGTTGTTTGCATGGAATGTGACAACCATCAACTGCTCCTATTACTCCCGGAAACCCAAATGACTTCTGCTCGAATATCTGCCACATAAAACACATTGACTAATGTAAATAAAGACACAAGAATCACACATTATTATGATTAAGTTTAATTTTAACTTTTTTTATACTTTTAACTTATTGCTAATAGTGATTTTAAGCATAATAATAATAATAATTGTATATTTACATCTATACATGTGTTTTTGTAAATATGATTTGGCCATTGTATGTACACTGGCATCAAGTCAACAAGTACATCAACGATTTCTTTAAAAATATGATGTGCTGAACTTGTAAGTATATTAAATCTATCTCCTGCTGCTAGAAAAGTTACTGGTCTGCTTAGTAACCATATTGTCGATAATACTTTTTTTTGGAGAGGTGCATATTCATTTGCATGTCTTGCAAGATATTGTCTAATAACATTTGACAAATTCTATTAAATAAAAATAAAAGTACAAAATATAATTGATTAATCTGCTACAAATAGTTATTCTCTAGATACATATAGCTATTCTCTAGAAAATTAAGTTTAGATGTAAACTCATATTTGATATTAAATTGTACAAAATTCATTAACTAATTTTCATAATTGTTTCATGTATACTATAGTTGCTTACTTCGCAAGTTGCTCTGTTCATTCTGAACATTTCTTTAAACTGGTCCTGTGTAAATCTAGGAATTGTTGCCTCAAAATAATGCAAATTATGACGTTTTATTCGGGCACGACATTTTTTAAAATTAAGGTTGATATCAGGTCTTATTAATAATTGTATAATGTTGTCTAAATTATGCATGGGTATTCCATCACCTTCCGCAAATAATAACATTAATTTAACAGCTATTGATTCCATTTTATCTGTATATACTTGAAACTTTAATTTTTAATAACTTTATTATCTATACATTATCTGCACATAGATTATATATTGTCAGATTATACATATTTTTCACTGTATTATTATAATTTACGTGTAAATGTACAATTCTGCTGTTAATCCTAACCTTATTCACTTTTCAACACATTGGAGGTAGCCATCTTTATAAGTAGCGATATCGCAAACGGATCATTCAGTGGAAAATTGGCCGCGTTCAGCAGACACAACTGTTGTAAAACTGTTGTACAACTGTTGGATGGATGTCTGCTGAACGCATTTTGATCAGTTACTGCTCCTCAACATGTTTAGGGAGCGGACGCCATTTTTTCCACCAAAGATTTTCTTCGCTACCTAAGCTCAACATGTTGGAAAACAATATGGCGGCGCCCATGTGTTTGGATGTATTAGCTGAACTCATAAAACTTATTAAACGTAAAAGAAAAAATAATGAATTGTCGCATTAGTAATAATGATATGTATAATGTTAACTATACATTTAATGGTGCCGAATATAGTATAACAGACACAAACGTACACTCAAGACTACGATCAGGTAAATACTCAATATATATTACATATTGTTTGTTTCTTAAAGTGTACTTGCAAGTAACTTTTTCTTCTTTTTTCATTTAATAATATTTTTACATGTGTTAAGCTTTGTTTAACTATTTTGATATTATTATAGAATAAATATTATAGAAAACCATCATCCACTGCAAATAACGCTATAATATCCAAATCGTCCATTTTTTCCAATTATTAAACACACTAATGCTTAATTTCTTTCGGCTCTTTCTTCACCTGATGGTTAAATTTAATCAGTTATTTCAATCGAATTGACAAATCGTATAAAAGGTTTGAAAAATAATGCAAGATCACGAATTGACTAATCGTATAAAAGATTAGAAAAATAATGCAAGATCACGTGACACGCTGTATTCTGAGGCTAAAATCCCCGTTCAGCAGACACGATCCGTATCACTAAGCGCTCACTGATTATTCGCTCACCGATTTGCAACTGTTATAATCTGCTGAACGCGCCCATTCATAGCGGAGTTCGATCCATCGGAAACTGATGTCTCAACTGTTGAGTCTGAATGCAGCCAATGACGCACTTCTAATAAATTACTAGAATACGCAAGTTACGCTTATGCAAATTACGCCGCATGTGACGGCACCCTTATACGACGATGCAGCGCGCACGCGCACTCAACATCCGACTTGAATGTAATGCAGGATTCACACTACGTCCGATATCCGACATACGACGTCCGATATCCAATAGGAGAACTTTCTAATAGAGAATTCAATTCTCCATTGGAAAGCTGTTCTCCTATTGGATGTCGGACGTCGTACGTCGGACATCGGATGCAGTGTGAGGCCTGGTCTACAATACGTGTCGTAAGTTGTAAGCCATAAGAATTGGCGAATCACAGTCGATTATTACAAAAATAATCGGCTATAATTGGTCAGTTCTTACGACTTACAGCTTATACACATATTGTAGACCAGGCCTGAGGCTAATATTACATTTATCGTACGACAATCTTTTCGAATACGTTGAATGGTTAACAAACAGAATATTTCTAGGATTGCTCTGCGTATGCCAATCAATGTATCCGAAAAGCTTGTCGTACGACACATGTAATATTAGCAGAATCCTTCATAATATTATAGACCAGGCTTAAGGTCATTCTACAATACGTGTCGTAAGTTGTAAGCCGTAAGAACTGACCAATTATAGCCGATTATTTTTGTAATGATCAACTGATTCGCCAATTCTTACGACTTACAACTTACGACACGTATTGTAGAATGACCTTTAATAGTGACAAAACGATACTTGGCGATACTCGGTCTGTTCTTTTTAGCTGCACTGCGGAACTAGTGCAATAAGTTAGAATGAGACAACTATATTTTTTCTCACTTTAACTTATTGTACCAGTTCAGTAATGCAGCTAAAAAGAACAGACCAACTGTCACAACGTAACCGAAGTGACGTGTGCTTCGCTCGGTATGCATGCGTATGTTATATGAACCGTATGAATGTCGTCTGCGATCTGATTTAGTTTGATATCAATAGTATCACTGATTATTTCATCACCAGTAGTACTCTATCGTGCGAAATATGTCAAAGTACGCATGTGTTTTTATTCTCTTTCTATGCAGTCTCAAATTTGGGACTGGGCTGTATTTTCACATTGGTGAGACAGAACGAAAATGTTTCATCGAGGAAATTCCCGACGATACTACGGTTCTAGGTAAATAAGATATAACGTTTCTAATTATTCATGCAAAATGGAACTTGTTAATCAGGATAGCAGTAAATCCGTTAGTTGTTATCGTACACAGAGTTTGCTACCACGTTCGTTAGCACGGTACATCTTCGGCGCATTCTATATTTATTTTTGTTCAATAGTATGAAACTCAGGCTCTTAGTTTATATATACGTTATCACTGTGTGTATATGTTTATATATACGTTATCAATCATGTGAAAAATGAGTGAATTATGTGATATATTTGATGTTGATCTCTCATAATAAGGATTAGTATATCATGTGTATGTGATGTTAACGATGAATATGGTAATAGCTTAAAAAATAAGTTATACCCTATTGATCAAACTTTTGTAACTTTTGTAATTTTGTATATCATTTTAGAGCTTTAGAAGAAATGTATTATTCTTTGAAAGGATGTACACAAAGGTATATCATCCTGAAGAACAAAGTCACTATATCTTCAATTTTGTTCGCAGAGTTAAATAACTATACAATCATGTTCTTTCAGCTATTTTACAATGAAAAATAGCTCACTTTTCTTCAAAGTTATAATTTTATGTGCTGAGGTTCATCTCACTGATCAATGTATTCATGAGCATACGCTAGGTAGATTTGCTACATACAAAATTCTTGACAGCTGCATCAGAATTATCTCATCATTCTTTCATATTCTTTCATATTTTCTTCATGCAGTGTCAAACATATGTCTGCTTTATCTAAAGTATAAACAATGTAACTATGTATATCAAACAATTAGATATATTTTTCTATGGCACGAATTATGTTTTATACAGTGATAGATAGTAGGCTGGTTTTTCGCAGTAAGTAATTGGGTGAAAAAGAGGAAGAAAAAGAAAAATATGAGAGATCATCTAGTGTATAATATCCATCAAGGAAGAGAGGACTGTAATGTTTTTTTTTTTAACTTTACAGTAAATTATAAAGTGGAACTTTACGATCCTAGAAGCGGAGGTTTTATGCCAAGCAGTCCTGGCATTGGAATGCACGTCGAAGTAAAGGATTCAGATGATAAACCTATACTCTCTAGAGTTTACAGTTCAGAAGGACGAATCTCCTTTACCTCACACACACCAGGAGAACATGTTATTTGTCTATATTCTAACAGCAGCGCATGGTTCAGTGGTAGTCAATTGGTAAAGTGTACATTTTTTATAGATATAAATACATATAAATATATAAGTATATAAATATGTAAGTATATGTATATAAATATATAAATATAAATAAATATATTTATATATATATATATATATATTACAATGAAGGAATAGACAGATGAAGAAGTAGAAAAAAAATATGAGAGACAGGAATGAAAAGATATAATTGTTCATGTTTATTCATAGAGAGTACATCTTGATATTCAAGTAGGAGAGCATGCAATCGATTATGCTAATGTGGCACAGAAGGAAAAATTATCAGAGCTTCAGCTTAGAATACGTCAGCTCCTCGACCAAGTTGGTCAAATAACCAAGGAACAAAATTACCAAAGGGTAACTACTACATATGATACACATTATATAGTTTGATAGTTCAATAAAAAACAGGCAATTGTACGAAAAGAACCATGGAAGAAGTATGTCGGAAGAATGTCAAATTGATATATTTTCAGTATCGAGAAGAACGCTTCAGACAAACATCAGAAAGCACTCATCGTCGTGTGTTTTGGTGGTCCATTACTCAGACTGCAGTTGTAGTGATTATGGGCGCATGGCAAATGAAACATTTGAAGAGCTTTTTCGAGGCAAAGAAATTAGTTTAATCAATATGATATAATTTGTTTATTTAAGCGAAGAGAATTGGTGATTGAAAACAAAAAAATAGCTTCACACAATGTTACAACATATACACAATATTAAAAATAATTATTCAATATATCGTGTATCGAGTTATTTTAAACATATTTGTATGAAAGTGTTGGTCATCCGGAACAATAGATAAATTGCTTAAGATTGTACAATGTTGTGTGATTGGTAATATGTTGTAAGAAAAATAAATCAGTAGCTCCTTATATGTGAAATGTGCTTGTGTCAAGTGATATGGTGATACTTGTACACATTCTAATTTTCAAGTAATATTTTTTTGTCTCCTAAAATTTGTTAAAATGATAAATAGAATAATTGTAAAAATTTTATCTCTGTTGTGTCGAGGATGAGACCAAGGTTGCGCTTCTATGTATGGTTCATTGAGAGTTTGGATGTCAACAAAATCAGTAAAAAGTAGAAAAAATGATACTTAAGGGAAAAAAGATAAAATGTGCTCTATGTCCGTCTGTAGTCCTGGCTTGGAATTAGTAATTCAATTCAATTCAATAGATGGCTCTGAGCAAATCGGGTACTGCTCTAACGCCACTCTCTCGATGTAAGTTATATAAGATACTGTATATGTCGGCCACAATGTTTGACTGGTCTCCTTTAAGAATTTTGCAATTTCCGTATAGCTGGGGATAAATTTGTTGTTGAAGGCTGAGTTTACGATTTCATTACTGTTAACAATATCTCCTTTATGATAAAGTTTTAAGAACAGTTGGTCTGATTTTTCTGCAAATAAGGGGCATTTAAAGAGAATATGATCTACATCTCGATTATTCCATCCACATGGACAAGCAGCATCCTCTATATTGAGTTTCTTGGTTAAATGCTCCGTAGTGCTAATATGACGCGATCTTAGTCTTGCCATCAAGGTAATGGTTCTTCTTTTGACGTGGATCAAATTAGCAAACCATGGTTTGGTGGCCAGCTGAGAAACTTCAGTTATATATTTAATGCCTTTGTGCAGAAATTCATTTTCAAGAAGCTCCAAGGCATTCTCATGAAGATTCTTCTTAAAACCATCAATAAAGTCCCCTAGGAATGGAGGTGTACGCAGTTCATTAGGTGGTTCAGTACTGCGTGCTCCGAGTCCGGCAAGAGCGCCTGCCAACTCATTGCCAGGAATGCCCCTATGTCCAGGTGTCCAGAATAAAGTGATATCCAGTCCATTAGCCGAGGCTTTCCACAGAGCAAATTTAATAGTTAGAATAATACTAGCGGCTTTTTCCTTAAAATTATCTGAGCCAATGGCATTGATGGTACTGAGAGAATCGGTAAAAATACCTGTTTTTATGAAATTCTCATCTGAGATAATATTAATAGCCCAAAGGACAGCCAATGCCTCAACGTAAAAGATACTGGAATCATAGGAATGGATGGATTCACGGAATTCAGGAGACGGGACATATACCCCAAATCCAGCCTTCCCGCTCTCAAGTACTGAGCCATCAGTGTACATCTCCGTGGAGATATTTAAATCACGAATAATGCCACAAGCCCGTCTATGTAACCCGCCAACCGACCACTTATTATTGGAGTCAAACCAAAGATTGCCATTGCTCCTATTGAATCTCTTAATTTCATCAAAGAGATTGACATTAATGTTAGGACGAAAAAATCTAAGATTAAAGGGATATTCAAAGGAAGAAGGAAAAGAATGATTTCTCATTATCTTAAGAGAGTCCTGATTTGTTAAGACTTTAGACAGAAATGTTGGGACAGGGGTCAACTCATTACGAGCATTGCATCTGTCAGAGACAGAGACACACCAGTCATCGACAAATCTAGTCAACGGATTATCCGATAAAGTACAACTTTTGACAAAAGTCTTCATTTCCAAGAACCTCCATCGGAATACAAGTGGCCACTCAGCAGTCTGATCCAATAAAATATTGGTAGGGGTAGATCTCATAAGACCCAGAATTACACGGACACAACTATACTGAATCCTGTTCAATTGCATGATCAGATTCCTAGGAATTTCCGTGAATACAATGCCACTCCAATCTAGAATTGACCTGACTAAACCTTTATATACCGTTAATAGAGTAGCGGGGTGTGCACCCCATTTGATCCCAGCAAAGGATTTGATCAGATTAACGCGCTTCTGACCCTCATCTTTAATCTTTTTGATATGAAGTTTCCAAGAAAGATTTGAGTCAAACACGAACCCTAAAAACGTGATACAGGGAACAAGAGGAATGATAGACTCCCCTAGTTGCAACCACAAACGATCAAAATTGACGATGGACTGCAATGTTTGAAATCTCTTATGCTGATCAAAAATACATCAATTTGTCTTCTCGGTAGAGACTTAGATCAAGTCTTGACAGATTAACATTGAGAATTCTAAGATTAGCATTTAAATAGCTCGAAATAGAATGAGTATCCTTATTTTTGGTAAATATAACAAGATCATCCGCATATGCCATTATCTCAACCGAATCATCTAAGCCAGAATGTATGTTGGCTATGTATAAATCAAATAACAAGGGACTAAGCACTGATCCTTGGGGAACCCCCAGGGAGCCAATACGTGACCCTAAAAAGTGACCGCCAAAGTATCCGAGTATATTGCGATTTAATAGCAAATGTGATATAAATATAATAATCTTGTAAGGAATGCCAAGATCCTCGAGGATATTAAGCAGCTTATATGGATTAACATTATCGAAAGCTCCTTTGAGATCTATAAAGACCGTACCGACCATCATCTTATTTAAAAAAGCATTACTTATAAAAGCCTTCAAGGCTAAAACACTCTTGGCACAAGACCGACCTCTTCTGAATCCGTTTTGGTAATGCGGTAAAACACCACGTGCTTCACACCACCATTCCAGTCGATTTTTAATAAGACTTTCAAATATTTTGAGAAAGGAGTTAGATAAAGAAATAGGACGTAGTTTAACAGAATGAGTTTTGGGGATAAAGACCATATAAAAAAGTTTCCAAGAAGGAGGATAAATACCCTTAATAAAGAATTCATTAAATATTCTAAAAATGGCATCGAAACACCATTGCGGAAGGTGCGATAGTATTCGAAAAGAAAGAAAATTAGGTCCTGGAGCTTTATTCTTTTTCTTTTTAAGATTATGTTGTACTGCTAAACTAAATTCATCTTTACCAAAATCCTCCTGAAGGACTTGACAGTCATGATGATGATTGATATGCAGCGATGAGCAATTCAAGTCTTTATTTTTAATGTTATCTCTAGTAAAAGATGACGTTACAATACTAGAATGTTGTCTAGTTACAGTATCTTGAAAAGTTTTATTAGTTATTTCCAAGCATTTATCAGATTGTTCGAGGTTATTATTAGAAATTGATTTTTTCCTTTTAAACGCCGAGACCAGGTTCCAAACTTTTTTAATATCCATGTCTTTGTTCAGAAAGGAGCAGAACTCTTTATACTTTTGGTTACGAATTAGTCTAAGCTGTTTTTTAACAGACTTACATATAGCATTATATTTAGTCAAATTTTCTCCAATGGGATGCTCTTTATATTCATGAAACGCATCAATCTTTGGTTTGGCAATTTTGGCACAATTCTCATCCCACCACGGAGAAGGAGGCCTACGCAAGTATTCCGATTCCCTCTTAACACGTGCTCCAGAAGCACAAAGAGAATCTTGCGTGAGCTTAACAAGATCTTCATATGCAGAGACAGGGCTTATGTTTCCTCCTTCTTGCATAAAATCTTCATGAATAGAAGAGTTATTTATATGTGCATCAGACGTTTTCCAGTCAATTTTGGCAATGGAGAAGTGTGGTCTACAAACAAATTTGTCAGGTATTAAGTCAGAGAAAGAGATGCTAATAGGATAATGGTCACTACCATGTGAATTATCTATAATGTCCCACTTAAACGTATTGCACAGCGATGGCGATATTAAAATAATATCAATGACGCTAAAACTAGCCATGTCAACAGAATGCTAAGTTGGAGAGCCATTATTGCATACGCTAAACTGCGAATTAGAAACAGCATCATAAAAGTAGTTACTAATGCGATTAGGAATACTAGTATAATTACACCACAGAGGATGTTTATAGTTAAAATCGCCAGTAATAATAACTTTGTCACAATTATCAAAACAAGTTAAAATTTCCTCCCACCCATTCTTATTACAGGATGAGTCAAATAGATTATTATTAGGAGGGTTGTAAAACGACACGAGTACTAATTGTGAATTGTTAACTGAAAAGCGAATAGAGCAGCAATTGATATTATATTTATAACATAAACGTTCTAGAGCATCATCTTTGAAAAACGAAAATTTAATATCATTTCGACAGGCAATGGCAGAACCTCCCTCTATCGAATTGCGATTGTGCGTTACTATCTGAAAATTAGGGATGTTGAAGATGTCTGAGTCACTAAGCCAAGTTTTCGAAAAGCAAATAAACTCGGGAAGAGATTCAAAGGAATTGAGCAAGATAATTAGGTTAACCCTAGCCTTAATAGAACGACAATTCCATTGCAAGATATTAAAGAAAATTCCCTTTTTTTTGGTCGATTCTGATCCATAGAGCAAAAGAGTAAAAGTCAAAACTGTTTGAACATTAGATTAAAGAAGAGGCTAGGAATGAAAAGGGTGCAAGTGAATTTAGTAAAATTCCTGCGGTTCGCCATCAGGACTATCAAGATGATGCTTGAGAATAAGTGAGGAAACTAAATCAATAACACGAGAAAGTTGTTCAGGATATCCAGCAATAGAGAGACTAAGTTGTTGATTTTTTTTAGGTGATGATTGGAAATTAGTCTGGAGTTCTCTAAGAATGCTATTGAACTCTAAAAGATAGTCAATTTCAGCATCAGGGTTGAACTCACTGGTATATATGTTATCCTCAGGAATAGATTGGGGAGCGGTTATTACAAAATGTTCTTCTTGAGGAGTGGAAGAAACAGTTGTTGGCGGAGTCAAGGAAGAAGAAGGGGTTTCTTTTAAAGGTTTATCAGGGGGCTAAACATTGCCCCTTCCAGAAGGTTGTTTGATCGAATCATACCTTTTACGTTTTCGGCCTGTAGGCTGTTTTGAGCGATTAGGTTCTGAGCTTATATAGCTTTTATCCCTGTCAAGGGCATTTACGGCGATCTGAGGTATAGCGTTGCCTTCATTTTCAAGAGTCCTACCCAAAGTCTGCTCAGTAAACCAGGGTATGAAGTTCCCAAAAGTAGGCAGATCATTTCTTCTGTCAATATCGATCTTGTACCAGTCATCAGGTAGACGTGAACCAACTTGCTTATGAAAGTTGAGTGCGTCGCTGGGTCCTAGTCCAATCTTAGCCATAATCATTTTCAAATGGCGACATTCTATAAAAACAGGACAATTATAGTCACTGGCACTATGATTTGTAGATGTTAACTTATTCCTTATGCAGTTGATGCACAAGGGATTACGCGATATACAACTCTTAGTATCATGGTCTCTGGAGGCACAGTTGCCACAAACCCTGGCCTTCACTCCTCCCCTGCACTGCATTTCAAGATGCCCAAAACGTTGGCAATTAAAACAACGTTTCACTTTTTGAATGTAAGGTGTCATCTAATTTTCTTTTCCCTAATTCCCCTAATTTTCTTTCCCATATATAGAGCAGCAGTAGGTTGGATGTGACTTTTAAAGGTAAGCATTAAAATATTGGAGTTCTTTCTGTTAGAGTGATCATTATTTTTGAGATCCAAACGTTTCCCAGGCAGAAATTTGGCATCAATTAACTTAGGCCATGTTCCGTGCCAGTAAGGGGGAGGCAACATGTTATTCAAAATCTCCTCTTTAGTTTCAGATGAATTAATATCCCGTGTGATAACCTTAACCAACACTCGGTAATCAGGGATATAAGCAGACCAAATAGTGTCCGAAACAATCTCTCGTCCCAGCTTTGTCAAGTAAGTGACGAAGCTATTCGCAGTGATAGGATCCGGAAATGTGACTGAGAATTTATGAGTACCTAGATTTTTGAGATTAAAAGCAAACTTCCATAAGTCCGGTACCACCTTGTTCAGTAGTTTGCCAATACCGATTTCACTAAGATTTTTTTATATTCTTCATCATGGCTATCAGAAATTTTCTCAAAATGCACCTCAAAGGGTTCAAGGGCGTGTTCGTCATACGAATTTTCCAATAATTTCTGCAAATATTCTGGAGAAGTTGCACCGAAAGTCTTAGGCTTACGTACATTACCCAGTGTATCAGTATTCTTAGTTGCATGAGCGCTTAAGTCCTCGCTCAGCGTGTTCGAATTTTGCTCTATAGTAGAATCCATATCAATGTCCAGGAGAATCGAGTCTTTTTCTTTGTCCATATCGGGAAAATAGTATTCAAAATGGCGGAAAGAAAAATGCGTAAGATGTTTGTTAATAAATTTGGAGTCTAAAATCCCAAATTCAGTCCGAGAAACAATTCACGAGTGAAGCTAAGTCCGTTATAAATATAGTCACCACCGAAAGAAGCAAGAAAATCGTCGTGAAAACGACGGATTTATTATCACGAGAAGCAGGCTCAGAAAGAACGACACGTTACATTCACATCGACCGCACGAGTCCCCTTGGAATAAGTAGTAACAGAGAGAAGCCTGAGAGCGGTCATGACTGCATTTACAGCGTTATGGAAAAGTTGGCTGATTCGAAGCGCCAACTGGGTCCATTTTTCATGGACATGAACTACCAAGCCAATGTCCACGATTTGTTGGTACTATTCCGTGCTATGTCCATAATTATTTGGTTCTGTTCTGTGCTATGTTCACGAGCGAGCTAGATTAGTTAGATAAAAACGAAGAATCGGTCTTTCTCATCACCAGTGAATAGACAATCGCGACGAAGCGAGCCAGCCGCGATATTATCGTAAGGCAGACGTCGCCGTCTCCCCTTTTACCCCCTTGTTTTCCTTTCCACATTGTTTTATATTCATAATTCGGGAAGAAAATAATTTCGAGAGTTCGGACGATTTTTGGCAATGACACGACAGAGATAACGCGCGGCCACATTAATTTGTCATGACTTTTATATTACTTATAATTACAGAAATGCTCATATATGCAAATTATAGATAATTATTGCGCGTATATTTTAATATTGTACAATATGGTATATAATAACAACAACTTCATTTCTTGCAGTAATTTTTTTAAGATTTCGTTGAGGTCGTGAATTAATTTTTTTCATCAATCAGTTTTCTGCAAAAATTAAGATTTTTTAAATAAAATATAAAATGTTTCTTTTCTCTTCTCTCCGAAGAGTTAATTAAAAAATATGTACTCCACAGAGTCAACTAACAAAGTGTAGTCAGAAGAGTCAATTTAAAAGTGTACTCCGAAAAATCAATTTAATAGCGTATTCCGAAGAGTCAATTTGAAAGCATACTCTGAAAAATCAAATTAATATTGTAATCCGAAAAGTCAATTTATAACAGAATATTTACTTCGACGATTCAGCTAAAGAAAAAAACATTTATTTATTATTATATTCAGAGAATAATATTTAATTTATTATTTATACTTATCTTATTTATGCTTACCTTACATACGCTTCTTTGAATGAAAAATTGAATTTGTTGACTGATTCAGATTCAGATTTATTAAAATATCTCTTATGCGCAACTTTTGAACAGGTTGGTAGTAAAATAATTTTTTTTCTTTACGAATTTTATAAACTTTTCACGAACATAAAAATTGAAAGATTCTCAGAGAACAAATAACTTTTCTTGAACATTTAAACCAAAGGAAAATCTTTTTCCATTAATAAAGAATGAATAATTAATATCTCACACAAGAGGAATCTTCATCCTTGAAATCACCGTGCGATTTTGCTTTTAGAAAAGTATAATATTGATATAATAATAAATGCTATCCAAAAACGGTGCAAATCTTAAACGTTTTTGAGAAATGCAGTTTGAAGTTTAGTCTTTTCTGCTAATGTCGTTATAGCAGAAGAATTACCAATTTGCTTCAGTAGCGCAGTGGACCAGGCTTTGTAATATGAGCGTAGAGGTTGTTCAAGTGTGTTATTTTTACTATCGCAGGGAGAACTATGTAGAATGTATAATAATACGCAGACAAATTCTTTACATAATCATACTTATTTCTTTTAGCATGAATAAAAATGATCAATGCTAACATGATAAGTGTATATCGCAATTGTACGTGTATACATACACACACACGTACACACGTATACCAATGATGTCAAAACCGAACAATTCGTGAAAATTTTTTATTGATCAAGAGGCACGGTAGTGCCTCGCGCCAAGTTCAAGCGCAACGAAGTTGCGCCCGAATAGGCACACCGTGCCTATTATTACGTGAAACTCTGAGTTGAAACGAGGTGAGATTTTCATATCTCAGCAATGGCCGAACCGATCAAGGTTTTTTTATATCCAATCGATTCGGCCTTCAAAAATAGGAATAAAAGTGTTTTTGTGCTTTTTGTGTACGTTGTCTCTAAGTGGAGATATTTTAAGATAAAGTCTGAATCACGGAAAATTTCGATGCAGTAAGAAACGTCGGATGCAAAGGAGTGGGGCAAAACGTGCACATTGCTTTCCCGACACCAGGGGCGCTACGAGAGCGCTGAAGAAGCAAAGAGCAGCGAGTGCGAGTGAGCAAGTGATAGAGAGTAAGAGAGAGAAGAATATTGCTAGAATACAGGAGGTGAAAATGTGTGACAGAGAGAAAGAGAGCGAGAGCGAGAGCGAGAGAGAGAGAGAGAGAGAGAGAGCGCGCGCGAGAGAGAGAGAGAGAGAGAGAGAGAACGGGAGAGAGAATGGGAAAGAGAACGGGAGAGAGAACGGGAGAGAGAACAGGAGAGAGAATGGGAGAGAGAACGGGAGAGAGAACGGGAGAGAGAACGGGAGAGAGAACGGGAGAGAGAACGGGAGAGAGAGCGAGAGCGAGAGCGAGAGCGAGAGCGAGAGCGAGAGCGAGAGCGAGAGCGAGAGAGAGAGAGAGAGAGAGAGGGAGGGAGGGAGGGAGGGTGGGAACAGGCGAGAAAGAGAACGGGCGAGAGGGATGAAAGAGAGAGGCATAAAAAGGTGAGAATGTTGGTATGCGTTGGTATGTTATGACGCACGTCATTTGATTGCCGATCAGCTGGTGCTGAGCAGACGATGTGATGAGCTATGCCATCGAAAAATCAATACCAGTGTTTATTGACTCGTCGTCTAGGGTGATCGCCTTTCAATTACTGTGAATTACGGTGAAGATAATAAAAAAAGGCGCCAAGTATAAGCGCAACACGTATTGCGTTATTTTAAAAAATTTCAAATTCAAATTATTTTTTTAAGGTATATATGTGTACATAACATAAGTTTCTACAAGTAAAACTTATACTATGTACATACATATCTACATAGATATATACGTATGTACATACGTACATATTATATACATACATATGTACATACGTACACACGTACATACATACATACATACGTACATACAAATGTTCATACTCACGTAAATACTTATTCAGATGTATGTAACTACTTACGTATATACGTACAAACATATGTATATATATATACGTACAAACGTACATAAACATTTTTTAGATATTGAAGGTCCGCGTCCACGTCTACATGTACGACAATATTTTCGAATTTCTTAGCTTTTCCCAACATTTGTGCCTCTAGGTATATATGTTTACATATTCGTAATAACATACATATACACGTATATTATTATTACGAGTAAAACTTATAACTATAATAAAACTCTGTAACACTTTTTTACTCTACAAAAGAAGCGATATATTAGAACAGTAGCGCCAACTGAGAAACCTAACATATATATATATTGGGTGAGTGCAAAAGTTCGTGCGGAGTTTCAATAGATGGAGTTATAAGCGTCGTAAAGTGTTGTCATTAATACTTCCATCTACATATTATATAACGTTGGAAAGGTGACGTCTTCAGCTGTTATTAAAAAAAAAATCATTTGTTTTCATATAAACTGCTTCGAAAAATATCACTTTAAAAATGAGTATCAATAAGGTGCATTTACTGCATGTTATGCTTTACGATTTTCGGAAGGGAATAAACGTTGCCGCAGCCGTAAAAAACATTCAGGATGTTTATCAGGATGAAGCACCAGCTAAACGAACTGTGGAAAAATGGTTTGCTAAATTTCGGCGCGGAGAATTTAACCTTGAAGACGAGCCACGCTCTGGTCGACCTTCTGACATTGATGACGATGTTTTGCGTACTTTAGTGCTCAATAATCCGCGAATTTCAACAGAAGAAGTTGCTACAGCACTAAACGTTGACCGATCAACCGCTTTTCAGCGTTTAAAAAAGATGGGATTCGATTTGAAGCTCGATATATGGGTGCCCCATTTGCTGACCGAGAAGAACAAAATCAAGCGAATTTCTGCAGCCGTTTCTTTACTCGGGCGGCTCAATAACGAGTCGTTTTTGGATCGACTAGTGACGGGCGATGAGAAATGGGTCCTCTACAACAATGTTCAGCGCAAACGGACATGGAAACAATCAGGTGAGCATGGTGACGCAATGCCAAAGGCCAGTTTGCACCCGATGAAGGTGATGCTCTCTGTTTGGTGGGATTGCAAGGGCATAATCTATTTCGAGCTTCTCCCCGCTGGCGAAACGATTGATTCGGACAAGTACTGTCGCCAATTAACCAATCTGAATCGAGAAATAAAAGAGAAACGTCCGATTTTGTCAAATCGCAAGGGAGTCGTCTTTCATCACGACAACGCCAGACCACACGTTTCGAAAAAGACGCTGCGCAAACTGAAGAGCCTGAAATGGGATGTCTTAACGCATCCACCGTATTCTCCTGATATCGCACCATCTGACTATCACTTGTTCCGGTCATTGCAAAATTATTTAAATGGAAAAAACTTTGACTCTTTGGAGGCCTTAAAAAACGGCGTCTCTTCGTTCTTCGAATCTAAACCGCGCAGTTTTTATGATCGAGGCATCCGTATGCTGCCAGAACGTTGGGAAAAGATTATAGAAAACGATGGAGAATATATCATTGATTGAATAAAGATTTTTGTTTGCCTAATCACTGTGTGACTTTTACTCACAAACTCCGCACGAACTTTTGCACTCACCCAATACAATACAATTTTACAAGTAAGATACAATTTTTACAAGTAAAATTTATATAAAACTTACCTTTTTAAACAAAAAGGTAAAAAAAAGGTGCCAAGTACAAGCGCAACACGTATTGTGTTATTTTTAGAAATTTTAAACTCAAATTATTTTTTTGAGGCATATATGTGTACATAACATAAGTTTTTACAAGTAAAACTTATAACAATAATAAGACTCTACACTATTCACTCAACTCAACACTATTCTACTGTACAAAAGAAGTGATATATTAGAACAGTAGCGCCAATTGAGAAACCTAACATATATATATGATTATTGTATACTTAATATTTTTAGAAATCTCAAATTCTAATTATTTCCTTTTTTAAGATATATATTATGTACATAACATAAGTTTTTACAAATAAAACTTATCAAATTATTTTTCTTGCAAGATATATATGTACATAAGCATTTAAAAGTAAAAATTATATAGTATTATAAAAATTTAACACGTTTATTAATAGTGTCCAATATTTAAAAAAGAATATCTTTTTAAAGGTTATTGTTATTCAAGAAAAACCTAGCTACAAAAAATGTCTATGGCATAAATTTTTACAAGTAAAATTTATCACTATTTATTAGAACACTAAGTTATATGGTTATTTTACTTGTTATTGTAACAAATTAATTATTATAACAATGCAATAAAAAATATTTAATACAAATAATCTTGGTGTGGCTGCACCAAAAACTATATCGAAGATGTATGTACATAAAAGTCAAATTAGATATCATTGACATTTCGTCGATTGTAATAAGAATAACATCTTTGAATAAAAAAATATCAAAATATGTAGAATATATTCACATTCGACATCTATATTCTATAGTGAAGGTTTATCATTCAATATAATACTATATAAACTTAAATAGAACATTACACCGTATATGTATAGAGAGAATTTATAAGTATATTTGATTATAATAAAAATGCTCATGTATGTATTAAACAAGTTTTAGTTCGATATAGTTTTTGGTGCAGCTGCACCAAGATTATTTGTATTAAATATTTTTTATTGCATTGTTATAATAATTAATTTGTTACAATAACAAATTAATTATTATAACACATTAAACAAAAAGTAACCATATAACTCAGTGTTCTAATAAATAATGATAAATTTTACTTGAAAAATTTATGCCATAGACATTTTTTGTAGCTAGGTTTTTCTTGAATAACAATAACCATTAAAAAGATATTCTTTTTTAAATATTGGACACTATTAATAAACGTGTTAAATTTTTATAATACTATATAATTTTTACTTTTAAATGCTTATGTACATATATATCTTGAAAGAAAAATAATTTGGTAAGTTTTATTTGTAAAAACTTATATTATGTATAATATATATCTTAAAAAAGGAAATAATTAGAATTTGAGATTTCTAAAAATATTAAGTATACAATAATCATATATATATGTTAGGTTTCTCAATTGGTGCTACTGTTCTAATATATCACTTCTTTTGTATAGTAGAATAGTGTTGTAGAGTTTTATTATTGTTATAAGTTTTACTTGTGAAAACTTATGTTATGTACACATATATGCCTTAAAAAAATAATTTGAGTTTAAAATTTCTAAAAATAACACAATACGTTGCGCTTGTACTTGGCACTTTTTTTTTACCTTTTTGTTTAAAAAGGTAAGTTTTATCGCAATTGTACGCAAAGACGAAAGAGAAGTACACGGGTCTCCGCGGGTATCTCGTCATATTAATTGTCTATGAGCTGATAAACAATTGATCTCCGGTATTTACAAGTTACGTATGTCCGCAGCTTGTTCGGTTTTGACATCATTGGTATCAGTGATGCGAATTTGGTGACGGGCTTGCACGAGGATTCTCCTCCCCCCCCCCATATACGCACACAGCCAACTCGGTCAATCCGTGTAAGCCATGTGATCGGCAATTGTCGACGCGCCGAGCGAGCGAGAGAGAGAGAATATCATTCCCTCCTTGTCGCTCTCGTTCTCGCTCAGCCAGCGAGCCTAAAGGCCCATTTATGCTGGCCGTAACCGTATTGCGATAACTTAACGGCCGTTAGCTTATGCCGCTAATTTAGACTTTCTGGTTTATAATGGTTTGCTGTATGCCGTAAATCATAGATAAATTCTAATACCGAGACTACCATTTTGAGTTTATTAAAAACTGTCAAACGTGTATTACCTCACTTTTAACTATTTTGATATTCTTTGTATTAATGAAATGGATTCAAATAAGGTAGTTGTATGTGCAATGTTTATAACAATCATTGGGTTAACATATTATGCTGCTAATGCAACACCAACTGCTAAAGCACACAGAAAAAAACGTCGTTGGGCAGTACGTCCAATAAATAAACAAAGAAGAGACAAAGGACATTTTCATAATTTATTTCATGACATGAAAAGAGTTGATGAAGAACATTTTATAAAATATACGAGAATGTCGTCTGAATGTTTTTATATATTATTAAATCTTATTAAACATAAATTAGTGAAGCGCAGCAACCGACCATCGATAAGTCCTGAACATAGACTTGTTATTACATTATTGTAAGTATACAAATGTTATAAATTATGATAGTTAATTTTTGTTTTATAAATAATAAACGTAGCTGTTAAAATAATAGTATTATATAATAATATTACATAAATTATTATTGCAGTTATCTGGCACAAGGCTGTAACATGCAGGTAGTAGCATGATCATTTTTAATAGGAAAAACAACTGTGTCTGTAATTGTTCGTGAAACGTGTGAAGCCATTTGGGAGGTACTTTCTCCAATTTATTTAAAAACACCAACAATTGACGATTGGCGAAACAAAAATAAACGTTTTTATGAACAATAGAACCTTCCCAACTGTTGCGGTGCTATAGATGGAAAGCATATAACCATTCAGGCTCCGAATAAATCTGGAAGTGCCTATTTCAACTATAAAAAATCTTTTAGTATCATATTAATGGCTGTTTGTGACGCTGATTATATATTCACTCTCGTCGACATTGGAGCTTTTGGTTCACAAAGTGATGGAGGTGTTTTTAAAGAGTCTACTTTTGGAAAAGCACTAGAATCTGCTATAATAAAGTTACCACCAGATTCGCCATTGCCAAATACAAATAGTATTTCCATATTATTTTGTAGGAGATGAAGCCTTCCCATTAAAACCTTATATTCTGAGACCTTACCCTGGAAGGAATTTAGATAATCAAAAACAAATTTTTAATTATCGGTTATCAAGAGCACGACGTACAATTGAAAATACATTTGGCATTCTATCGTCAAGGTGGCGAATATTGCGAAATAATATTATTGCTGATGTGGAAACTGTAGAGAAAATTGTTGCAGCAACAATGTGTTTGCATAATTTTTTACGTATTTCTGAAGAACAAGTTCCTGTGCATAATAGAGTATATTGTCCTCCATCTTTTATCGACAAAGTTCATTCTGATGGGAACATTACACCAGGCTTGTTTAGAGAGGAACATGTGTATAGTTTCGAAAGAATTGGACGCTTAGGATCAAATAATGCTTCCAGAAGCATAATTGGACTTCGGGACATTATGGCTAACTATCTTTCCAATGAAGGAGCAGTTCCTTGGCAATGGGATTATGTTCTTAGAGGATATAATCCCGAATAAGTATTCTCATATTCTTTTTATTTTTCATAATAAAGTATAAGTATATATATTAAAGTATTTGTTTAAATTATATTGTTTTGAGATATTTTCGTAATAACATTATGCTTATTATTGTAAAATACTTTTGTTCAGCAAGTTTTTTGCGATATTATATAAAATTATATGTACAAGTACTCATATGCATGCACACACACACACACATACACACACACACATTGCTTTTTTATTTAATCGTTTTGTGCTACGTCGAAATTGCGTTTATGCTGAATAATATTAATGGTAATGCTAATATTAATGCTGAATAATATATATGCTAAATATATTAATACATGATAAATTGGAGATTAATCATAATAATTAATACATTCCAAGAGAGAAAACAATATATTATTTATTTACTCGTTTATACGAAAATAAATTGTTTACAAAGTGTTATTGATTGTTTGCGCTTATACTGAAGACTTATTTCTTCTTCTTCTTATTATTATTATCACATTGAGTTGTAACCATTAATTATAAGAGCTAATATATTCTAAGGAATAAAAAGTTTTTTTTTTCATATAAAAATTAATTGTTCACAAAATATTATATACACTGTTTGCACTTATACTTAAGACTTATTCCTTCTCATTATTATTATCACATTGAATTGTAACAATTAATTATAAGAACTAATATATTTTGAAAAAGAAAACAATGTATTATGTTTTTATTCTGTCATATGAAAATAAATTGTTCATACAGTGTTATAAACTGTTTGCATTTATACTTCAGTCTTATTCCTTCTTATTATTATTACATTGAGTTGTAACGAACGTTTTGTTTGCAGCGAACTTGTAGTAAACTAAATTACAATTGATTTAATAATACTGTAAATTAATAATTAAAATAAACATAATTACAATTAATAATGAATTAAATAAAAAAACCAATTAAACAACGCTACTAGAACTTTTACCACAACCCAATACAACTATATATATATATATATATATACTTGTCGAAATTGGAGCTTTTAATTCACAAAGTGATGGTGTTTTTAAAGAGTCAACTTTTGAAAGAGCACTGGAATCTGGTAGTTATCACCAGACTCGCCATTGTCGAATACAAATAATGTTTCCACACTATTTTGTAGGAGCCATATTCCATTAAAATCTTATATTCTGAGACCTTACCCTAGAAAGAATTTAGACGATCAAAAACAAATTTATAATTGTCGATTATCAAGAGCACAACGTACAATTAAATATGCAAAGCTCCAATGTCGACATATATATTGTTTTATTAATATATATTATTGTGAATCGTAATAATATACACTTATATCAGGTGTAGTAAAAAGAAATCCATTATTTTTCCAATAGATGGCTTTAGTTATCTGTATCTCGCGTTGTATAAGTCCGATCGGGTTCCACTAGATGGCCTTAGAAAGATGAGATTTCGTACTAAAAAAACTTTTGTGACAGTTTTGTGATTAGTTGACTCAGTTTTGCTTGAGCGTGCGTCAAAGATGGACACTAGCAAAGAGAAAATACGCTATATTTTACAGTTTTTCTTCGATAAAGGCAAAAACGCAAGCCAGGCGGCTGAAAATGTGAATAGTGTTTATGGTCCTGATACTGTAACAGCCAATCGCGCGCAATTTTGGTTTCGTCGATTCCGTTCCGGTAATTTCGATGTCAAAGATGCACCACGCACTGGAAGGCCAATTGTCGAAAATATCGATAAAATCATGGACATTGTCGAGTCCGACCGTCATGTAAGCACTGTTTCGATTGCCCAAGAGCTAAAGATTGCACAAAAAACCGTTTGGAACCATTTGAATAAGGCTGGATACAAAAAGAAGCTCGATGTATGGGTGCCACACGAGTTAACGAAAGAAAACCTCATGGACCGAATTTCCATCTGCGAATCGCTGCTGAATCGCAACAAAATCGACCCATTTCTGAAGCGGTTGGTCACTGGTGATGAAAAGTGGATCACTTACGACAACGTCAAGTGAAAACGGTCATGGTCGAATCGCGGTGAGCCGGCGGAAACGGTGGCCAAGCCAGGATTGACGGCCAGGAAGGTTTTGCTGTGTGTTTGGTGGGATTGGCAGGGAATTATCTACTATGAGCTGCTCCCCTACGGCAAAACTCTTAACTCGGAACTGTACTGTCAACAATTGGACCGTCTGAAGGAAGCAATCGCCCAGAAGCGGCCAGCTTTGGCCAATAGGAGAGGAATTGTGTTCCATCAGGACAACGCCAGGCCACACATATCGATAGTGACTCGCCAGAAGCTCTGGGAGCTTGGTTGGGAGGTTCTTATGCATCCACCTTATAGTCCGGACCTGGCGCTAAGTGATTACCATCTGTTCCTGTCCATGGCGAACAATTTTTCTGGTGAAAAATTCGCTTCAAGAGAGACTTGTGAAAATCGACTGTCTCAATTTTTTGCCAATAGGGACGAGGGCTTCTATGAGAGAGGCATAATGAAATTACCTTCAAAATGGCAACAAGTTATCGAACAAAACGGCGCATATTTGACCCAAATCGGATCATTCCAACTATGGTAATTAAAGCCTTCAATTTCATGCAAAAATAATGGATTTCTTTTTACTACCTGATATATTACTTTAGTATAAACTATATAAACTATAAAAATAATAAAATGTAAAACAAAATAGTATTATAAAATGTGAAACAGTATAAAACGTTGTTTTTATACTAATTAGTTTAAAGACAAAGTTTTATTTTGTATACCTTGAAATTATTTGCATAATCTCAATTTTACAAGATATTAAATCACTTTTATCGACACTTTTTAAATCTCCGTACAATGAGTCACAAAAATATTTTAAAGATTCGTCTTCTGCACTTGCGGTATTCTTGTGAGTAACGAAACTTTTAAAAACATCTACGGCATTACCTAATTGTTCTTTAATGTCTGGAGATTCTTTTTTATTTTGACTTGTAAGTCTCTTTGGTATAGATGTGTTTGATGTAATAAGTTTTTTTGCTGCAGATGCTTTTGGTGTTATGGATTTTTGTAATATAGATGTTTTTGGAGTAACGGGTCTGTCTGCTGTAGATGTGTTTGGTATTATGGGTCTTTGTGATATTGATATTTGTGATGTGACAGGTCTTTCTTCTGTAGATGTGTTTGGTGTTACAGGTCTTTGTGGTATAGATATGTTAGGTCTGTCTGGTGTAGATCTGTTCGGTGTTAATAATCTTTGTGGTGTAGATGTCACAGGCTCTTGCGATATAGGTGTCGTCGATTTTGTTTCCTGTCTGAGATATGCTATCGTATTGTCGCCTAAAATATTTGAGAAAGATTGTAAAGATGCCTCCCTGCTAGGTATGTCAGTGACAATCCCTGCACATGTTGAAAATTAACATAGTTATCAATAAAAAGTATTGTTCATTCAAAGTTTTATAATAATGTGTATAATATTTAACATTAGAAACTATGGGAGAAAGTATAATTTTAGATATACCTGTCTCATCATCTAAATACATGTAGTCAACGTATTGCATAGAGTCATCCTCTGCGGTCAGGTTTTTTGCACTGTCTTTATAAAGATCATCAAATTCCTGTGTTTCTGAAGGGGAATTTGATTCGTCTTCCATCGCAATGTTCCCAAATGTTCTTCGTTTTTTCACCACAGAGTGTAAGAATGTTAGATATTTCATTAAGGGCCATTCCGTTTGCATAGCTGATCCAGAAAATATTTTTCTAGCTCTCTTTTTGGAAAATCTGTTATATAACGACGTCCATCGAGCAATACATTCATTTGCTAAAAGAAAATATATAATTATTAATAAATGGTATTTGACTAAACCTTAACCGAACTGTCTTAAGTAAAGAATTTTATATATATTTAGTTAATACATATATCTTATTTCTTCAATTATAAAATCAAAACGTCTTATCTTAGATATGTTTTATTATATTACTGTATTATAAACTATAACATGTATATACTCACTTGATTTTTGTAATTCTCCATTTATAAATAACCACGAATTGTCTATTACTGTTCGATTTTTATATTTTGGATTTGTCTTATCATATAAATGTGTAAATCTTTCCACTAAAGTTTTTAATTTTATGTCATTATTCATTGAATCCATTTCACTCATATTTTCGTACCGCAGCACTTTGCACAAACAAGTATAAAAATGAGGTTATCTTGATTACAACCATAGACTTGTGTATATCAAGTTTGTATTTGTAACCAATCTCCATAGCATTTTCTTTTAAGATCGCTTGCCGTATTCCTTAGAAGTTAAAGTTGAGTTAACTTTACAATCACCAGTATACGGAAATGTATTGTGAACGAAAGCATTGTAATCCCAGTGTTGAACTTTACCGCTTCCGGCATAAGTTAGCGGTTACGGCCAGCATAAATGGGCCTTAATTCTTTCCTATCCATAATCTGAATCGCGGGCGCGACTGTCTCTCTCTCCTTTCCTCTCTATAACAATACTGAAAAGTTTTGTCTATTCGACGTACCGAAATTATTACAAATAATATTTTATTATTAATAATATTATTTGTAATATATATTATTTGTAATATTATTATTTGTAATTTTATTTGTAATTGTATAATAATGTTACAAATAATACAAATTTTTACAAATTTTACTTGTAAAAATTTATATCATTTGTAATATTATTTGTAATAGTATTAATAATATTCGGCGCCAAGAAAATGAAATATATTTTATTAATTATTTTGCGGAGTCGGTTTTGCGGAGCAGGTTCACATGTTTGATTATTGAATTGTTTAATAATATTTTAAGAATAATTTTAAGTTATACAAGGATGAAATATAAAGTAGTAGGAAGAAATATAAAGTAGTATGAAATATAAAAGAATATTGTAACAGAATTAAGAAGTACGAAATGAAACCTCTTTGCTTTTATTACAATATCCTGTAAATTAATAAATATTTTTCATACAGTATTAAATAATTTCCAAAAACAATTACATCCGTGCAATTTTCTATCTGCGCAAAAAAAATTCATAAAATATATTTGTTTCGTCGCTCTAAATGAGAAAATTCTCAGAACAATGTCATAGTTGTTCAGTGCACTACTCAATAAAAATATAATAATACTATGTTTGTATGTGTGAAGAATATTTGTTAACTTACAGGATATCGTAATAAAAGCAAGGAGGTTTTATTTTGTACTTCTAAGGCCAAGACTTATTAACAGCTAAAGATATTGGGTGAGTGCAAAAGTTCGTGCGGAGTTTCAATAGATGGAGTTATAAGCGTCGTAAAGTGTTGTCATTAATACTTCCATCTACATATTATATAACGTTGGAAAGATAACGTCTTCAGCTGTTATTAAAAAAAAAATCATTTGTTTTCATACAAACTGCTTCGAGAAATATCACTTTAAAAATAAGTATCGATAAGGTGCATTTACGGCATGTTATGCTTTACGAGTTTCGGAAAGGGAATAAACGTTGCCGCAGCCGTAAAAAACATTCAGGATGTTTATCAGGATGAAGCACCAGCTAAACGAACTGTGGAAAAATGGTTTGCTAAATTTCGGCGCGGAGAATTTAACCTTGAAGACGAGCCACGCTCTGGTCGACCTTCTGACATTGATGACGATGTTTTGCGTACTTTAGTGCTCAATAATCCGCGAATTTCAACAGAAGAAGTTGCTACAGCACTAAACGTTGACCGATCAACCGCTTTTCAGCGTTTAAAAAAGATGGGATTCGATTTGAAGCTCGATATATGGGTGCCCCATTTGCTGACCGAGAAGAACAAAATCAAGCGAATTTCTGCAGCCGTTTCTTTACTCGGGCGGCTCAATAACGAGTCGTTTTTGGATCGACTAGTGACGGGCGATGAGAAATGGGTCCTCTACAACAATGTTCAGCGCAAACGGACATGGAAACAATCAGGTGAGCATGGTGACGCAATGCCAAAGGCCAGTTTGCACCCGATGAAGGTGATGCTCTCTGTTTGGTGGGATTGCAAGGGCATAATCTATTTCGAGCTTCTCCCCGCTGGCGAAACGATTGATTCGGACAAGTACTGTCGCCAATTAACCAATCTGAATCGAGAAATAAAAGAGAAACGTCCGATTTTGTCAAATCGCAAGGGAGTCGTCTTTCATCACGACAACGCCAGACCACACGTTTCGAAAAAGACGCTGCGCAAACTGAAGAGCCTGAAATGGGATGTCTTAACGCATCCACCGTATTCTCCTGATATCGCACCATCTGACTATCACTTGTTCCGGTCATTGCAAAATTATTTAAATGGAAAAAACTTTGACTCTTTGGAGGCCTTAAAAAACGGCGTCTCTTCGTTCTTCGAATCTAAACCGCGCAGTTTTTATGATCGAGGCATCCGTATGCTGCCAGAACGTTGGGAAAAGATTATAGAAAACGATGGAGAATATATCATTGATTGAATAAAGATTTTTGTTTGCCTAATCACTGTGTGACTTTTACTCACAAACTCCGCACGAACTTTTGCACTCAGCCAATATATTCGAATTGATCTTGCCTTAATTGGTCGGATCAGTGATCAGTCTTGCCTTAACTTCCAAGCCTCATAACTCGGAAAGTATTCAATGAAATATAACTTTGTTAGAGTGTTTTGGAAAGCTCTTGAGATAAGCTACAAGAATATGTAATAAAAAATCGTAGTTTCTATTTAAAAAAACATTAATGACCTTGGCCTGATTTTGACAAGGTCACTCAAGGTCAAGTCCACATTTCTGTTATGTGTCGTCCTTCAAGCCATGCAACTTTCGTTCGACAAATTTTTTAATAAAATCATCGATAGTGGACCATATCACTTTAGTTAGAAAAGTCTGGAAACGGTCAAATATTTCGAAAACGAAACATTTGTAGGAAAAATGTTTCCAACTGAAGTTGTAGGGTTTTAAAAGTTCTATTGAATGATCATATCCGTTTGACCTTGAGTAGAGGAGTCAAGGCGAGGTCAATGCGAACATGATTTTTTTAAATGGAACATCCAATTTTTTATCACACAGTGTTAAAGGTGACAACGAGCCGTTTCCAAAATATTACTTGATGATCCATTTTTGTTGAGAATTGTCTGAGTTATGAGTTTTAGAATTTACGGTGCCGCCAGCATTAGTATTATTCAGGACGTACCGCGTGGAGGTTGCATGGTCGGACTTTATACCCCCCTGTGTGTGTGTGTGTGTGTCAATGATATCTAATTTGACTTTAAAAAACTATATCGAACTAAAACTTGATTAATACATACATGACAGCATTTCTATTACAATAAAATGTTCTTGTAAATTCTTTTTATACATATACGGTACAATGTTTTATTTAAGTTTACATAGTATTATAATAAATAAATTATAAACCTTCATTATAGAATATATTATAATAAAAATAAAGTCAAATTAGATATCATTGACATTTCGTCAATTATAATAAGAATAACATCTTTGAATAAAAAAATATCAAAATATGTAGAATATATTCACATTCGACATCTATATTCTATAGTGAAGGTTTATAATTTAATATAATACTATATAAACTTAAATAGAACATTACACCATATATGTATAGAGAGAATTTATAAGTATATTTGATTATAATAAAAATGCTGTCATGTATGTATTAAACAAGTTTTAGTTCGATATAGTTTTTGGTGCAGCCGCACCAAGATTATTTGTATTAAATATTTTTTATTGCATTGTTATAATAATTAATTTGTTACAATAACAAGTAAAATAACCATATTACTCAGTGTTCTAATTAAGAATGATAAATTTTACTTGTAAGCTAGGTTTTCTTGAATATTTGAATATTTTGAATAACATAACCTTTAAAAAGATATTTTTTTTTAAATATTGGACACTATTAACAAACGTGTTAAATTTTTATAACACGATATAATTTTTACTTTTAAAAGTTTATGTACATATATTATAATATATATCTTAAAAAAGAAAATAATTTGAATTAGAGATTTCTAAAAATATTAAGTTAAGTATACAATAATCATATATATACCAGGTGTGTCGGTAATTCCTTTCCGGTTTTTTCGCTAAAGAAAACACATTATTTACAATGGATAGTTAAAATATATTTATTCAAAGTATTGGCCATTTGTTTCTATACATTTGCCCATCTTTCAGCCAATTTATGGATGCCATTCCAAAAGAACTGTTTCTCCTTTGAGCTAAACCATTCATCGAGCCATTTTTTAACTTCTTCGAAATCGGCGAAGTACTGCTCTGCAAGCGCGTGCCCCATCGATGCGAAAAAGTGGTAGTCGGATGGAGCCAGGTCTGGAGAGTATGGCGGGTGCGATAAAACTTCCCATCCAAGTGATTTCAACACTTCTTTGACTGGTTTTGCTGTATGAGGCGGCGCGTTGTCATGCTGCAAAATCACCTTATCATGTCTTTGAGCGTATTGTGGACGTTTTTCGATCAATGCACAGTTCAAATTGATCATTTGTTGTTGGTAGCGATCAGTATTAACTGTTTCTCCAGGTTTCAACAGTTCATAATATACGGCACCAACCTGGTCCCACCAGATACAGAGCATGGTCTTGCGACCAAAGCGATTTGGCCTTGCAGTCGATGGGCCGCCTTCGCCAGGTGATAACCATGATTTTTTTCGCTTGGGATTTTCGAAATAAATCCATTTTTCATCACCCGTTACTATTCAATGCAGAAATGACTTCCTTTCATACCTTTGAAGCAGCATTTCACTGACGATTTTTCGATTTTC